TGTTGACAGTGAGTATGTTCTGTTGACAGTGATGGTGATTATGTTTTGTTGACAGTGAGTATGTTCTGTTGACAGTGATGGTGATTATGTTTTGTTGACAGTGAGTATGTTCTGTTGACAGTGATGGTGATTATGCCACCGTTAATGTTACAGATATGTGAGCAGATCGTAGGTGATGTAATGAAGATGGAATCCTCCTGGCCATTTCTGCTTCCAGTCAACAAAAAGGATGTAAGTGTCTGAGCAGTTAAGTGGTTCTCTGTTAGTTTGAACAAGACATTGTCAAACTTTTCTGAAACACAAAATTAGAAATGTCTGTTTTGGCCCCAAAGTCAATCTGAATACAAAATCTTTATGATTGTTTCTATATGCCCGCCTCGAGGAAGTACAGGGTATATAGATTTCTCTTTGTCAGTGTATGCTTGCGTGCTGACTCTGGTCTCGGTAGCATATCTCAGACACTGTTGCATAAATTGGTATGAAACTTTGTATGTACATATATCATGGAAAGGCACAGTATTGCATCCTTAAACGAGGTCGCTGTGATCTCCCTTTGACCTTGACCTAAAGTACTAAAATAAGTGTAATTCAGCTGTTTTTAGCCTGTCAAATTTTGATAGGATGTTTCATGATATGGGGAGCATCAGTCAATTTACTCCAATTTTTTCACATTAACATTCTTAAATATCTCTCAATGAAACTTGATATTCTTTTACATTTTATGCATAATTAATTAGCATACTGTGCTCTGATTGGTCAATTTTCAAAGTTTAGATTCCAGTTTTAGTTTAGGGTAGGCGCAAAAAATTGGTATAAGTAGGGGAAAATGCATGTTGATATAGCCTAATTGATGAAATGTTAATGTCATCAGGTGCCCGATTACCATCGCATTGTAAAGCATCCAATGGACCTTCAGCTTGTCAAGGACAAACTCAAGTGTATGGTGTACGGTTCAGTGGAGGAAGTCATTGAGGACGTCAAACAGATCTTCATTAATGCTGAGACTTACAACAAGGTAAATAGCCAGATAACCAATTTTACATTATAAAGCATCATTTTCACGGGCACCAAAAATACTCTGGATTTTGATACTGACTTAATATTTCAAAGAAACCCTCTTACTAGTTGTTAATAAAAGTGAGAAATACCAAGATCGTGTTGTGAGCACGAGTGGAAAATAGGCATAGACCATGACACTCACTATTTTGCTACACATGTACCTAAGGATCTTGTTATTAACAATAAATATTGCCTACCTTAAAATGTACCCTGAATGATTTGCTATATTACACTATGAAAATACTTCATTTTATAACCAAATACTAAAACAAAGAGCGAACAAAGAGATGGCCTCCATTTCCAAATATTGTCATTTTTGTGAAAACACACTTTTGCCCCAGCGCCTATCGCCTCGATATGTGACGTCGCAAGTTCAACACTGTCAAAACAGTCTTATCGGAATATACCGGGAAGCTTTGATTTTGCTTCCATACCAGGAATTGCACCGTCACCATTCAGGTCAAGCAGACTCAATATCCTTACAGATACCCTGTTAAGATGTCTTTAGTTGGTTCTGACAGAGTGTGGGAGTGGTGCATCCATGTCTTAAAGACCATGTTTAGTTGTTAAGTGTCTCTAATTAGGTTTGATGAGTTTTTTATTTTTGGTGATATCATGAAGTGCTTGTTTGCTTGTTGTGTTGAGCTGTCTGCCCACACTTTGTTATCTACTGATGTTGATTTACCTTGTAGGTTGGAAGTGAGGTATTGGACTGCAAGGAGGAAGTGGAGAGAAACTTTGCCCTTTTAATCAAGAAGAACTTACCTATGTGCCTGTATGCTCGAGGGAGAAACAGCCAGGCTTGCTGACAGTAATGGATGTAAATTAAATCATTGCTAGATGTTTATATCGATAGTATAAAATGTATTAAGTTGCTGAAGAATATCATTTGTTACATCATTCTACCAAGGACAACTCAAATTCACAAATTGTATAAACTGAACATCCTTGACTATCACAGAAGTGTGAACACCCTAGACTATCACAGAAGTGTGAACACCCTAGACTACCACAGAAGTGAATGTGAACACCCTAGACTATCACAGAAGTGTGAACATCCCTGACCATCACAAAAGTGACTGTGAACACCCTAGACTATCACAGGAACGGGATACTCAAGTAATGGGGGTTCAAGTCAGTAGGGTTCACTGTATTTACAAAAAAACTTATTGAATATGACTTTACATATGGCTGAATATTTAAATAAACTCGCAAATTGGTCCATTGTATGAATTAATTACATGTATGTTTATATCTGTACTGCTGGGACCAAAATACCAATATCCTACTTCATCTGGTGTCCATTATTTCAGTTTTCCTTACATTGTACTCCTCAATTGTACACAAATGTAACTTTTGTAAAAAAAAGTATAAGGTTTTGTAGACACTTTTTTTTAGGTCACCTGAGACAAAGTCTCAAGTGACCTATTGCGATCGCCTTTTGTCCGTCGTC